TAGACTGAAGAACAAAATGACAGCAACTTGTCTGTTCCCCTTCCCCCAATTCCCCAGCATTGTTCCCATCCCCCCAATTCCCCAATAAAAATCTTTAAATAAAAATAAAAATAAATAAATAAATTGGCTTTTATTACTTCCCTGCTTAAAACCCTTCAGTATTTCCTGTTGCATTTAGAATAAACTTTAGTTGGGCCTTCCTGCAGCCTCTCTTCCGTTTTTAACATTTCGTTACGTTCCAACCACACTAGTACAGTTGCTAAAAAACTTTTCCTGCTCTAGGTCCTGGTGAATGTTGTTTCCTAGGACCTCCTCTCTAGTTTTGAAATGGCTAATCTCTTATCCTAAAGGTTTCAACTTAAACCTCTCAAAAAATTACTCACCTCCCCTCTAATATTCTGTTACAGTACTCTTTTATTTCCTTCATAGCTTTTATTATAGTCTATAATTATTTCTATATTTATTTGTGACAGGGACATGTTGGACTACCGGTTAAAATTTTTTTTTCAATTAAGAATGGCTTTTGTAACAGACAATAGACAGTCCAAGGCCAGATAAGTTAGCCTTACAACACCAACTATCTGCTTTAAAGACAAGAAGGAAAGGTGATGATGGCCTGGCTTGGTTTGGATTCTCCCCAAAGCAGGTCCTGAAACAAAGACACAAATGGAAATAGTTTATATCATCCCAAGAAATGCTGGTAGGCTAGTGGAGAGGTGAGACAAGGAATGGGGAGATGACCAGATAGCTCAGGTGGTTAGAGTGCAGGGCTCAGTGCTCATAACACCAAGGTTGCCAGTTCGATTCCCACATGGGCCACTCAGGTGCACCCTCCACAACTAGACTGAAACAACTGCTTGACTTGGAGCTGATGGGTCCTGGAGAAACACGTTGTTCCCCAATCATCCCCAATAAATATATATTTTTTTAAAGTTCCTGAAAAGAAATGGAGACGGAGGATAGGTAGCCAATAAAGGATTCATTATGAAGCCCTTTACTCTGAGTGTAACTGGAAACTAATCCCACTGGGAAACTACAAACCACTATAAATCATGCCTTAAAATCATCATACCTAAGGGACAAGAAGCTAGACATTTACTACATCTACTCTCTTCAGTCACTGAGTATTGCTAAGGGGAGGAGTTACAAGTAGCAAAGGAGGCTTCTCAAAGCAGCCAGAGAAAACCTTCAGGCATAAAAAAACGGGTGCTAGCAGTTGGAAGTCTGGGCACTGCACTGAAGTGATAGCTAGGGGCAGAGTATTGACAGTATCTGATACACTGCCCTTCCCTCTTCTATCTGCCTTGGATACAGATGTGATATCTGGAAAGGCAGTAGCCAGTCCTGAAATGATAAGCCTATAAGCAAAAGCCAAGGTATTGAAGAAAGCATGGAGAGAGAAAAGGCTTAGGTCCCTGGTGGCATTGATGAGCAGCAGAATCAATGCTAGCAACTTCCTACTTGTTGCTATATTAAACATTTGGTTATCTAACAAAAAACTCTAAAGTCACTACTGGAGTTTTTATAGCCCAATGCAGTTATTTAAAATAGTGTGGTAGGCAGAAGAATGTACTCCCTACCCCCAAAGATGTCCATGTTCTAATCCCCAGAATCTGAATATGGTATCTTACATGGCAAAGGACTTTACAGGTAAGGACCTTGAGATGGGGAGATTTTAGATTATTCATGTGGGCTCAACTAATTACACGCAGCTTTAAAATTAGAGAACCATTCCCAGTTTTGCACAGAGGGAGCTATGACTACACAAGAATGATCAGAGGTGCAACGTTCCTGGCTTTGAAGATGGGGCCATGAGCCAAGAAATGTGGGTGGCCTCCAGAAGCTGTAAAAGACAAGGAAACAAATTCTCCCCTTCAGCCTCCAGAAAGTAATGCAGCACTGCTGACACCTTCATTTAACCCAGTGAGACCCATATTGGACTACTGATTTACAGAACTGTAAAATAATGTTTGTTTAGTTTTAAGCCACTAAATTTGTGGTAATTTGTTACAGCAGCAATAGAAAACAAATAAAAGAAGCATGCAGATATAACGGATAGCATATACAAAACCCCTGAGAGAGAAATCTGCTTGGCTGTATCTAGGAACAGAAGTATAACTAGATAGACTG